AACCTCTTGGGACTGTTTTTTTATTCATAATAAAGATAATAATACTTAATAGTTTTGCTATTATCATTAACTGAATCAGCAAAAGATGATCCGTAAAGGTTAGTTGCAATTTGAATTAATCCATCAACTATTTGAGCTATTCATAGGACTGAATTTTTCAAGTCAGACTTCCACAAATCAGATATTATAAGCAGTATCAACCTTAACTAAATAATTTCAAGAATACAAACAAAAGGTTCATCAAGAGTGGCTCTCCAGATATGACCTTCCTGTAACATATGTGTTAGTCTAGCCCAGAATAGGTAAGTGGGGTATGCACAGTTTCTCACATAGTGGGACGAATTCCAATTATGAAACATTTTATACCTCAGGCTAAGAGAACCTATACAATATTCTCCAGGGAGCAATGCCTCCTAGACCTTCGTTTTATTTGTTATAGTTCACCCTTACTCAGAGACATCCTACTAAGAATACTTCAATGTTAGGCCTTTTCTTCCTAGCAAATAGCATTAGTCTATTTATCCAGAGGAGGTCCAATTGACAAGGAGACTAGAGCTGGTCACTTCCTGTTATTGACTGAATGTTTTTGATCCCTCCCTCAATTTTTAGGTTGAATCCCTAACTCCCAATTTGATGGTTTTTGGAGATGGGACCTTAGGAGGTAATTAGGGTTAGATTAGGTTATGAGGGCGGGGCCCTCATGTTGGCATTAGTGGCCTTCTAAGAAGAGAAGCCTCTCTTTCTACACGCCCATTCATCAAGAAAATGCCACATGAGAAAACACAGGGAAGGTGGCATTGTGCAAGCCAGGAAGAGACCTCTTACCAGGAACCAAATCAGCTGACACCTTGATCTTGAACTTTTTAGTTTCAGAACCATGAGAAATAAATCGGTGCTGTTTAAGCCACCCAGTCCATGGTATTTTATTAAGGCAACAAAGGCTGACTAAGACACTTCCCCCCTTCTCTCCCCCAAGGTCTTTCCCTGGTAAAGGGAGTGAATGAGTAAATGTGTCAAAGGTCAGTTTCTTTAATTATCTCCCATTTACCTTTTAACTTTTTTTTTCTTTTTTAAATAATGGAGTACATACATCTTTTATATTCTTATTTCCACGCAATCCTCAAAATCACTTTTTTTATATAGGAAAAATTTTCACAAGGCTCTAAAATCAAAAGAACATATAAAGTCTCATCTTACGCTGTAACATCACCTGTTCAATTACCTCTCAATACTAACCACTATTATCAATTCCTGATATTTTCTGCACTTTGCTTTATTTCACCTAAAAATATCATGGAGACCTTTCCATATCAGTATGAAGGGAACTTCCTCATTCACTTTAAAAACAGCTTGGTGTCCAGTGGTATGGATGTACTGTATCTGTACCATAACTTTACAAAGTTAAAAAAATGTTTTGTAATGTGAGCCTCTAGAAATGTCAACTGCACCTATATGGTATGTTCCTATGCCCCTCTATAGTCAATGTTTTCTGTGTTCCCAGGTGCTTATGTTTATTTTTATTGGGGTAATTACACTTAACATGAGTTTATTCTCTCCACAAATTTTAAGTGTAAATATGCTACACCACACTACAATGCAGTTAACTACACATGCAATGCTGTATAGCAGTTCTCTAGAACTTGTAACTGAAACTTTATAATAGCATTCACTTCTTTTTTAACATAAGCATATCAACATAGACATAAACAATTAAAATGTTTCTACAACTGGAAATTCACAGTGGCCTCACTCCCCTTTCCTTCAAGGAAAGTTACAACTTAGCATTTGCCTGTCTCATGGTAGTAATGCCTAGAAAACATCATCCTACTTTAGCACAAACAGAGAACTAACTGTTCCAATGTTTCTATACTTGAATAGATATTGATTAGGTTGCATAAGATATAAAGAATATAAGTTTCACGTATTCCTTCATTGAGTATTAAGTGTATATACATTTCCTTTAACCTTGAATAATTAAAAATGTGATGCCTGCCCATTTGAATAGAGCAAAGTAGTTAACAGTGCAGGCTTCAGAGTCAGGCAGAAGTAGGTTCTAATCCCAACTCACTTCCAATGAAATACCTTTGTGGTCTTGGGAAAGTTTGAATAAAGATCAATTTCCCCATAATGTGAGGATATAGAGTTTAGGTCAGTAGCTTGTAAAGAGGATCAACAGAAAATATACATAAATCACATATGGTAGTTACTCAATAAACAGTAGCTTTAATTATCATCATCATTATTATCTACATCTATTTAGTGACATTCTGTAACAGACTTTCAGCAGCAGCAACAGATGACTCCATCCTTGTTCATAGTGCAGTGGGAAAAGCATACTGGTAAACAAAGAGTAACTTTAATATATAATAAAGCAGTATACTAATAAATGAAATGCTATCTCCAGGATTTAAAAAAAAACTGTTCTAAAGATACATTTTATATAGCAATTATCTTGAAGAGATAAAAAGTGCAAGACATTCTCCACTGGAAGGTATACCATTTATATCAACTTCAGTTTTCATTTGTTAAAAAATATAGAGAAACATACAACACTACAACAAAGGCAGTAGCTATTTTAATTTGGGAGATATGGATTTGGAAGGCACTTGGCTCTGGCAGTACCTTCGAGTCTCAATGACTTCTTGATGATGTAGGCATAGGTAAGGGTGTAAGGGATGGGGGAAACGTCTGATATGAATATTTGCTTCTCTTGATCATCAACTACTTTCCACCATAAAAACAAAGTATGAAAAATGGCAGGGAAAGCCTAGATGTCCCCGTCTTTTTGTGACAAATAACACATGAATTTGGTTTCACAACAATCAAAAATCATTGAGGAAACTGCACTTTTTCAAGAGGACTGAGAAGTGAATGCTTCTGGAAGAGGATCCATAAATTCACAGGCTTTTAACTTTATTGAAAGTGTCTGAATGTCAAAAAAATTATACCCCTGGTTACCACTACAGCCTACACATCTTGTAAGCCAAACTCAAGGTAAAGGAAGACTGCTGTGGTGGGCACAACATTCCCAGAATTATAAGACACCTTTTGGGTATTAAGTGTATAAATAACATATTTATTTGTTCTACAGAAAGGCATTAGTAGCAGACAGTGGCCAGCAGTATCTCAGCAGATACCAGGAAACAAATTTCAAGCCTGAATTTTTCTAGAGAGGAACCAGCTCTGAATTCTGAGTTTTCTTTCACCAAGTGAGTCTCTTGATGACAGTTCTGCAATTCTTGTCTAATAGTCTGCCACATAATTTACTGTTAATTCATAGGTTTATGTAATCGCAAATCCTAAATTAGTTGGTCGTTTATTATAATTTTTATTGTCACTTCACTTAGATATCAGGAACAGAAACTTATTAGTTAAGAATAAGGACGAGAAATGGAAGAAGCATCAAACCTTGTGGCAAGACAGCGACTGACATATTTATACCAGCTTCTGAAACACTGAACGTCTTCTATTGAAATGCTGCAAAAAGTCAGTATCCGAGCTACTTCTTCGGATAGCAAACCTAAAAAGTCGCTCCTGGCAAACTAACACACACAGAAATGAAATGCCTCTTCATCCGTTAGCATCTCACCACCAAATTCATTAACTTCGGGCAGCCTCCACGGTCTAGTTGCTTCTTCCTTTTACTGCATCAGAAGAAAAGCATGGGCGCTGGGTCCGCCCACTCCGACTGCCGGCGCGCGGGTTCCTGAGTAGCCTTGTGCACCAACGCAAAATAACGGGGTTGTTGCCAGTAGTCCTCTAATCCTCTAGAGATCCATCATCCCCTAAAAATCGACAGTTTTCCTCCGTTTCTGCTTCCTCCAGAGTCAGCTCACACAAAATCCAGTGCAGGTTCATCCCTGATATTCTAATGTGTGCCCTGTAAGCTAGTTGTCTGGAGGGGCGAGGATGACCTTCGCATGCTCTGGAGAGATTTCTGAGCTGATCAGTGCTGCTGGAGCTCCTATCCACACAAGTTTTATCTTGTGAGCCAAATCATTTTCTGGTTCCACTTTTGCGCTTCGGCGGCTCCACCTTCGGTGTTTGCCCACTGTCTTCTGGCTCAAGTCTACCTACTGCTTTTCAACTTGGAAGTGGACTCTCGTAACAAGTCAGGAGGCTAAGGTTCCTGAGAGCCACCTGGATGGAGACGGTGGCGGAGCGCCGCGCTTGCAGCAGAGCCAAGAACCCCGAGACATCACTGCGTTGCTCAACTTTGTGTTTTCTTCCAGCGGGTCCCAAGCTATGGAGATTAGTGAAGCCCCCGAATGAAAAAACCCCGCAGCAGTCCCCGGCCTGGCCAGCACTTGGGAAAGCAGAGCAACGCTCTGCTAGTTAATTTCCAGGAAGCGACCTCGCAGAGCGCAAAGGCGAACCAGTGCCAAAAACCAGAGGACAAAAGTTTACTTTGGCTGAACAAGTCCGGCAGCCCAGTGCGGGTAAGCAAACTCTCACTAGGAAGCTTCTTCTAGGGGAGTGGTGAATGGGCCTGGGACGCTTCTGAGAGCGAAGTCTCTTGGGTTTGGGGCTCTGCAGCTGTGCGGCCCCCAGTGATCACTTCCAAGCTGTCGAGGGAAGAGAAATTGGGACCCGAGCTAGCTTAAGCCCTGGGCAGCTACTCCAGGACCAAAACCTTGGAAATGGCTGCTAAAGGGGCTGAGTTTCCAGACTCCTAATCCCTCCCCTTTCTCTATCTGAGTCTTTCACCTGCTACCGTCCAGTTTACAGTATAAGCGTAGATCCTAAATTAAGGCCATCTCCAAAAGCTAGGCTTTACAATTTCCCAGGCTGTTTCTTTCACAAAGATCTACGCTAGCTTCTGGAGCTTCTTAGGGAAATGTGTGAGGGAATACACAGGAAAGGCAGGATGAGAGGGCATTCTGTCCAGGGAACAGGGTGTGGGCTCCTCTATTCGAAGGACCTCGGGGAGCCCTTTGGAACTCCTGGGTTTGCTGCCGCAATCACTTCCAAACTCGGCAAGAGGAGGGGTGGAAGTGGCTCTGCAGGGTGGAGTTGGGGACTGGGTTCGCTGTCAGTCCTGCGTCCTAAATCAAGGTGCGGAGAGTAATTGGCCTCAAGGAAAGAGCCGGAAAGTCTAGCTGCTGGAGAAGGCAGGGACCTGGGAGGTGGCCAAACAGGCTTGAGGGCTTGCCACGAGCAACTGCCTGCCAGCCACAATGCGAGAACTCGTGAGGAGTGGTCCAGTCCCCCGGTCACCTGCATCCCTGCAACTCCTGTCCCTCTTTGCGCCTCCCGCCTTCACGCTCTCCAGTGGTCTGGGGAGGCCCGCGCGGGGCTGAGCGTGCGTGTGTTGCTGCGCGCTCCCGCATGTGTGCGCGCCTGTGTGCCTGTGTGTGTGCGTGAGTGTGCAGCCCGCGCGCAGAGCCTGGCCACCGGGACCTAGCTGCCCGCCACCCGCCGCCTGACTGGTGTCCCTCGTCCTTGCAGCCACCTCCTCGCAAGCCTCCTCGCCTAGCGCGGGTAATCCGGCGCCTGCCGCCTGCCCAGCCCCGCTCGGCCGCAGCAGCCTAAGCTCAAAGTTTCCTCAGCGCAGACACCTTGGCAAAGGGCTACCCAGGGATACGGGCTTCTGAAGCTGTGCCTTGGACTGGCTCTTCTTACAGCACCGCTCCGCCTTGTCCCCACCTGATCCGAGTAGAGAGTAGATGTTCCAAATTAAAGGGAGAAAGGGGTGTGTGTGCGTGCGTGCGTGTGTGTGTGTGTGTGTGTGTGTGTGTGTGTGTGGTGGGGGGTATTATTAAAAGAGACCGGGGCGGTCACAACTGAGAACATCCACTTCTCTTCTGACTGATGCCCTGGAATTGACTGATGACAGGCCTGTGGGGTTAAAGAAAATAAAATAGAAAGCCAAGTTGACCGAGGAGGGGCTGGCTGCCAGGAGGTTGTTCTGTCTCCGTTACTACGGGAGTGAAGATTTGTAGGCGCTGCCAGTGCAAGAGCTTCGAACCGCCATCCCCTCCTGATCCCCTGGGAAGGTAAAGCCGGCAGAGCTCAGGGAGAGTGAGTCAAGAAAAAGCCTCTGGACTTGTGTGCGTCGCAGCCTTGGCTTGGGATTTTAAGGATAGGAAAGAAAATTAACAGCATCTCAAGGTAAGAAGCAGCAAGACAGCTGCCTGAATTGTCAGGAAGAGGGAATAACTTAAATACATGTTGGGGAGGGGATGGAGGGAGCGGTTAGGCCAAGTTAGGATATCTCTGGGCGTCACCAAGCCAAGGTCTGGGGGCGGGCAAATACAGGAGTAGCCTGTGCGGCCAGTGTCCATTTGGGGGGCAGCAGGAACGAGGAAGTGTCCTGATCGTACACTTTTGGAAGCTACTGGAAAGAGGTACGGAACCGGGTCGTCTGTCCAGTCTAATTTACAACGTGCATTTGTAGGTGTTCTTCCTACCAGATTTGTTTTTCTTTAGCACAACGTACCCACATCCTCGTTGTCATAAGCGCTGCGGGCAGGCTAGCGCCTCGCCGACGCGGGGTCAGGTGAGCCCGGCGCAGGTGCGCAGGTGGCGGCTGTGGCAGCCTCCGGCGGGTGGATTGGGGGCCGAGCGGGGACGTCCAAGCCGCCGCCTGGCTGGCTCCAAGCAGACGGCGTCGGAGACCCGGCGCCGCAAGTGTGTTGCGATTCCTCTCGCTTCCGCTAGAGGCTCCCAGTGGGCACCGAGGAGCGGGTGGGTGTTGGGGGCGCGGGTAGGCGGAGGGCGAGCGCCGGGAGCTGGCGTGCCCGCGGGGTGGCGGAGCCGGAGCGGCAGCGGGAGGTGAGCAGGGCTGCGGCCGGGGACGTGAGCCCGAGTCCGGGCTAGCCTCCTCGTCGAGCGCAGAGCTGCGGGGACACGGGTCCGAATGCAGGCTGAGCTTGGAAAAGCTGTGACCTGAGCCGGAGCCACTTTGGGGATGCGATCCTGGCCCGCGCCCTGAAGGCAGTCCCAGGAGGTAATGTCTTCTTTCTTCGCGTCCCCCCTCGCCTGCTCAATCCCGGCAGTTTTCTGTAAATTCTCGGGCAATTATTAAAGGTGGTCGGGAGTGGAAGGTGCGGGTCTGTGGGGTCTGTATCTAAAGGTGCCTTTCAGTCTTGTTCCGTGGAGCTCCATACAATGTATATTTAAAGTAATCTCTCATTTTGCTCGCTTCCCCAGAATATTTGCCAGCTTTAAGGGAAGTTTTCTGCAAAGTGCCTGATGGCTGGTGTTTGGGCCAGGCTGCTCAAAGGTGAGCCAGGGGACCTGCTGTGCTCCCCTGAGCCGCAGTGGATTGGAGTGCAGGACTCAATGGGTGGGGTGTGGTGGAGGAAGGAGTACCACACCCTCTTCTTTCTCTACCCTTCCTTTTCACCTGATGGTGAAGTCTTACCATCGGGGGTTTTACTGATTTCCTTTCCCAAGGGACTGGATCTGAGAACAGAGTAAAGCTGCTGAAAGACTTGGAGAGAGATAAAGAAGAGAAGGAAGTCATTGCCAGAACGTCAGGCCAGGAAAGAGGGTGAAGTTAAGCTTGTGTGTGTGCGTGTGTTGTGGGGGGTGGGGGTGGGGGCAACCAAGGGAGAGTGTTGGGTAATAATAGCCTTGGATTTCAGATTATTTGATGAAGTCTGTTTGATTTCACATTTCACACAGTCTTTGACATAATCTTTGCTTAAACCGACTAACAAAAGTCGTTTCTGCTAGGTATTGCCTTGGGCACCAGTGGACACTGAACATGTTTGATGACTGTGTCTAAACCAAAAAAAAAAGCCACCCCCCCAAACAAACAAACAAACAAACAAACAAAAATCAGTGGATGTGTTTGATTTGATTACACTGTATCTTTCAGGCAGCTGGCAATTTTTTTCTTGGCGTGTTGTTTAGTGAATACTGTATGTGGTCATTTTACACTCAGTATTGCAATTTTAGAGTCCTCTAAAGGTGGCTCTTAACAAACAGGACTTGTGATATTAAATCTCCTGAAGAATAATACTGAAGAAAACAGGAAATATGATGGGACATGGACTATTTTAGGAATACTGAATCAAAGCAAAGATCCAGCATTTGGGAAATATTGGACCACATACCAAAAAAGCAAAAAATGTTTTTCAGATATGGAAAGTGATGCTTAACATTTCAGAAGAAAGGGCTATTCTTCAGTGCGCTATCAGCATCATTCAGTAGTGTGCATTACTTCCAATACAGTTCAGAGTAAGAGGCAGGAAAAAATGAATCACTTCCTGCTGGAGCCAGTCAAATATTTTGTGTCAGGTATTTCGCCTTAAGAATTTAAATGGACTAGGTTGTGTATTGATGATGACTGAAGTGGTTTGATTATCACTTATATGTAGGGCATCTATTATATTTGATAAGGTAAATATAAGCTAATGTTATATAATACGTGTAACTTAGTGGAACTGGAGTCAGGCCAAGTTACTGATGTTTTTCATTTAAGAGTAACACCTAACATGATTTCTATGAAGATTTATATAAAGTTTGTCATGAATGTATTACATTGCATAGAATCCTGTGTAGAAGGCAAGGATAAATATCTTGCTAAATCCCAAAAAGGATGGTTTATATTCTTAAAATATGCAGTTTAAAATTTTTTATTATGTGACAAAATAAGTTAATTGCATAAATGTAGTTGTCTGCATGTATAACACAAATAATTTATTGAAATAAATTAATCAAGATATACATAGGGGCTCAATTTTATTTCTGGAACAATCTATGTATATGATACATAGAGATATTGTCATTCTTAACTGTTAATTGAATCAAACTAGTGAGGCTGGTTTGTAACCTCGGATTCAGTTTTAGGACTCAGATCTCTACAGAATTTTTCTCTAATAAAAGTGATTTTAAAGGAGGCCAGACATCAGGATGTTCCAGGGTTACCATGGACCTGGAAACCCTGTGAGTCCTTATGAAACTTCACGTCAGGAATCAGATGTGATAGGACATTGTCACCAATTAATTGGCTTGATGCTTCAGTTAAAAACTGATTATTTTTCTGGATCTGATAATCATTATGGTTGATTTCATTTGGTCTCTAGATATTCTGTGAAAGGACTCTAGGTGGAAATGTTTTCCTATAGTACAAGGAGAAGAGGCCATTATATGCAAAAAGGCTTGTCAGTTGCCAATTCTAGAATTTAGTTGCATTTTTTCATAGGCAGAATGCTAGATTTAAAAAATATATCAGTTTTCTGAATTTACATGGATATTTCACTCTGTTGTAGCCCTTAGCCTCTGGATAATTCATTTATAATTTTGATGAGGAAATATGTCACCAAACCTCTTCCATGTATGGTTTAGGGGCTACATTGGTGCTAACAACTTAAGAACTGTTTTGTCATACAAGATCTTATTTCTTGGAAGGAAATCATTTGAGCTTAAAAAAGATGTTTAATGATAAAAGAATAGGAGAGACAGGTAAAATAACAAGCAAAAGGGTTACCCATCTAACTGCATGTATGACTTCTTCCTTCAGCAACTATTTTTTATGGTAAAAAAAATTCTTTTCTATGACTTTTTCCATTCTCCCTTTTTTCTTTCATTCTTTCCTTCCATCTCCCCTACCCCTCTCTACTTTCTTCTCTTATTTTTTTCTCTCTCACTTTTTGTTAAAATATTCCCGTCAGAGAGAAATTCATGGCAGCATACAGGGTGGGAAAAATAGGTTTACATTTGTGAGTACATGAAATAGAGTTTATTCTTGTATTACTTTCCATGTGGACAACTGTAAGCATAGTTGCTCCATCCTATGTAGTTAGTTGTTTTATAATTATTCTATAGTTTAATTTTGAATGGAAGGTACTCTTAAAATATTGATTTGTTTCATTTACTTAAAAATTTTATATAGATTTAATGGGTTTAAAAATTTTATATTTTAAACCCATGAGAAAGTGGGATAGATGTTTATGTCTTACATCGTGATGCCTGCTGTGTCTCGGTGCAACTCCAGTGGCTTGTTTCTGGCAAGCACACATACATGGAGAGTAGTCACTGGAGAGATGGGCTGCCTTGCAACGTGGTGCATTTGTGCTTTGAGTGACTTACTTCTATGTAGTTAATACACTCTCCCTGTGCAAAATAGCCAGCATAATCAAATCCAAAGTGTTCCTATTACACAAATAGTTGAGCCACATTTGTCACTGTGGAATGGAACTGTTCAGAAATTAGTAAACCATTTTAAGAAACCTTTATCTCTAAGTGTTTAGTAAATATAACAACTTTTTAAATATCACTCAAGAAAATACAATTGCTGAATGGTCCCTAAATGTCCTCAAGAGAAAAATCTAATGTCCAAAAATCCCCTAGGAGAAACTAATTCCCTTCCACTGCAAGGCAGCATGAATGAGTAGAAAAAGAACTGAATTGGGTACCAAAAGATGTAGGTTCTACTCTATCTCATGACTAATGGTGTCACTTTTGAAAAGTTTTCTTATTTTTTTAGGCTCAGTGTTGAATAATGTAAAATGGGATATTTAATGTCTACCCACTCCGTTCTTATGCTTAAAATTTGGCCAAACCTGGATTTAAGCTTTGGAAAAAGAAAAATATTTCAGTTGCCAACCAAGTATATGTCAGGCATCATAAAACTTTACAGAGGAGTATATTAAGTATATTTAAAGAGAACCTATAAATTTATGGAACATAGATTTGGATATGCATTTGATAAGAGGGTTTTTTCTGATGGAGCCATTAACAAGTGTCATGCAAGAAATACTTAAATTAACATATATAGCTATGTGAAATGATTTTGTAGAAGCTATTAATATAGTACAAATTGTGTGATGCTTACTGTGTGAGGCATAGAAGTTTATGTGGGCATTTGAACTGTTGTGATGGTGAAGAACAGGGAAAAGGAAAAAAGAGGAAAGTATTTTTGAATAATAAAGTTTAAATTCAGCCCCCCATTGTTTAAACAATCTACGTATTTCTTCTTCTTGGGTGTACTTATTATGACACAAATAGCAATTGCCATTGATTTTATTAGGTCAGTTACCCAATATCTTGAAACATTTAAAAATATAAAGCTTGTGAAATGTTAATATAGTGGTCTAATTTGTGAAGTTGTACACAAAAGTAGTACCATATCTTAGTTTTTAAAAATGTTGTATTGTTGTTCTAGTACAGTTGTCTCCGTTTTCCCTCACCATTCCTGCCCCCCCAATCTCAGCCACTCCCATCTATCCCCATTGATCCTATGCCCCCTTGGTTTTGTCCTTGTGTCCTTTATAGATGCTCCTGAAAACCCTTCCCCCCTTTCCCCCATTATACCCTCCCACCTGCCTTCTAGTTACTGTCAGATTGACTTTGTTTCAATGTCTCTGGTTATATCTTGCTTCTTTGTTTTGTTGAT